TCCGCACTTAAGCAACGGCGAAATGCTAGATCTGCACTTAAGCAACGGCGAAATGCTCGATCCGCACTTAAGCAACGGCGAAATGCTAAATCCGCACTTAAGCAACGGCGAAATGCTCGATCCGCACTTAAGCAACGGCGAAATGCTCGATCCGCACTTAAGCAACGGCGAAATGCTCGATCCGCACTTAAGCAACAGCAAAATGCTAGATCCGCACTTAAGCAACGGCGAAATGCTCGGACCGCACTTAAGCTACGGCGAAATGCTCAATCCGCACTGAAGTAACGGTGAAATGCTAGATTTGCACTTTACTAACTGCGAAAGGCCAGATCTGAGCCCAAACACCAAGGCCCGCGACCTAAAAATTGGTCGCGGGCCTATTCGTCAACGAACACAATGTGTTCGTCGAAGGCCTGTGTCGAACACGAACGTGTTCGTGTTCGACGCGCCTCGGCGAGCTGAGCCGGGCGAACAGCGAACGTGTTCGGGCGAACACCGAACACGTTCGCCCTGAACAATTTAGGCCAAAAACGAATCCTGTTCGGTTCGCCGAACTGGAGTTCGTCATATTGCTCATCCCTAGCTGCAACTAACGTTGGGGCGTGCAGGTCCTTGAGCACGACCCATGCTTTCGGTCCATATTCCGCATCCTCCAACAAATGCAAGGTATGCACTCGTTGATTGAGCTCCAAGTTTTGTGACAGAAGATGATATCCCACTGACGCTTTCTTGTCCCATTCTTCTTGCATAGCCGGGTCGTTTGGTCTTTCTTCGTTCCCGATAATCACCTTGAAAAGTCCCACATGCCTAAACTACAGCTGCATCTTGTCAACGGGAGTTGGGTATTGGCCCCGTCCTCGCTTGTGCGGAGCCGACTTCTTGGTCGGGTGTGAGGGGAGCAGCCGGCCTTCAGCAGTGGGTGAGCTGGTCGACGAGGAGGTCGACCTGCACGGGGGACCACTGCACGGGCGCCGACTTCAGGGTGGCGCCGACTTCAGGGAGGTCGACTTGGGTGTCGACCTGCGGAGGACGTCAACTTGGTGACGTCAACTTGGGGAAGCCGACTTCGGCAGTCGGCTAACGGACTGCTGGTCGACCTGTTAGTGGTCGACTGGACCTGGTGGTCGACGAAGGAGGGGCCGACGTCGACCTCGACTCAGGACGCCGAGCAGTTGGGCGTCGAGTAGCGGGGCGTCAACTTCGTGACGCCAGCTTCGGATGGCCGACGTGGGTGGTCGGCCGACGACTGTGCTGGTCGACGTGGAGCTGGTCAACCAGAGGGGATGTCGACCTGGAGGAGGTCGACTGATGGTGTCGTCGACCTGGTGAGGTCGACATGGAGGTGGTCGTCGACTTGGGAGGTCGACGGGCACGTACGGGAGTTGCTGGTCGACGTGGTTGCCTGGTCGACCAGGTTGCCTGGGTGACGAAGTGCTGCGGAGGGGTGCGACGGTCGCCCAGGCGAAGTTGGCGAGCCCGACCTCGGTGGTGGTATCTCGAGGTCGTCGTGGCGGATCAGAGGCAGTCGTCAGCTCGAGGTTGACGTGGTGTGTGCGCAGTGCAGGTGACAAGACTCTGCGCGCCAATCATCTGCGCACAACTGCGAAGCAGGGTGCACTGTTGTCCTGCGTGAGCAACGCTGTCACGCCGTCAACTGCGACGTTGGCACGCCGTCGACCTTGCCTTGCTGGAGCGCGGTCGACGAAGTCGTGCTGGAACGCGGTCGACCAAGCTGCGCTGGCAGTTGGCCGACCTGAATGCTTGCTCTGATGTAGTCTTGCTATGCCAACTTCATTGTACCCATTGTTCTGAATTTTTCCTAGTGAAACTCTTGCCAATTTTCCCCGTGAACTAGCAAGTAGTGTGTGCACAAGGAAAACGACTAAGGACTAACGAACGCAGAGATCACACGAGCACACGTGCCTAGCCCGTAGCCTAGCTCCCGTTGCTGCAGTTATCTCCGCACATCTTCCATGCCCAATCGTCATATCCCGTGCCTTTTAACTTTTGAACCGTGAAGTTCCTCAATACTTTCTTAAACAGGGACCCCTAGCTAGCTATCGCCATCCTTGGCGCCGAAATCGTAGTTACTTGGCCTCCACTTCTTTCTTGGCTTGAAGAACCTTATGTCGCATTCATACCCATGGTGTTCCACCGGCAACGACGTAGTAACTTGAGCTTTGATACCACTTGTTACGTCAGATACGTACAAAACTGGCTTCTAGCTGCCTTAGTTGATACTGAAAATTCTTGTTAGAACCTTTCCGACGATTCTGATCCAAATTATTCATTTTTGCGCCATCTTGGAAAGGATTGCGATTGAACTGTTCGAAATGGCTAGAGATTACTTTAAATGCGGACGAAGCATTGTTCGCCATGTGTGTCGATCCAGAACCGTGAACAAACCCCGAAGCTTAGCGTTCAGAGCGTGACTAACAAACCTCACGACTCAATCACCTCACTTGTCTCGCCACCGGTGCAAATGGTCAATTTGCAAGCTTGTAACGCTCGTGTTACTCCTGAACGAAGCATGAACACCTTTTCGCGCATTCACGAATCCAACACACTGCGCGACAGCGACCCATCACACCCTCCCGAGAGTGGCAGCACGAGCAGTTGCCTGCTCGAACACGTGAGCAGCTGCCACCTTGAACAAAGTGACAGCGCGTGCAGCAGCAAATCACAGCCTTCAAAAGCGGTGGCGCGTGCAGGTGCAGCTGTTTGCCACATGAGCACTGGCCAATCAGAACCACTAAAAATGGTGGCGCAAACTTGGTTTCAAGTGACTCAAAAGTCAAAGTGATTTTCTGAAACACCTTCAGCAGCTCCAATGTGTCAAAGACTTCACTTGACTTCTCCGCGACAGCAGGAGAATCATTTCTCCTCAGCTTCAATCTGCAAACGTCTGATGCGCGCCTCATAAAGGGAAATCCGCATATAAAAAATACAGAAAATGCTTTCTGTATTTAATAGGAGAGAAGGTCTCGAAGAAGTCCAGGTGCTGCTTATGAGTTAACCCCTTGTCCACATAGCACGCCTTGAACACTAGGGCATCGTCCAGAATTAGATTCAAACTACACTAAGCTAGGATATAGAAAGTGCAGTTACAAAACTTGATATTGAGGGCTAGCACTAACACATAACCGTGGGGGGTCTAGCAAATAGTGAGAAGCCTTACCCGAGCTTCACCATCTTGTCTATGATGGATGGTAGGGATGAGCAAAGATCTGGGCTGGGCCCGGCCCGGGTCGGGCCGGCCTGGAATCGCCCCGGACTGGGCCTCAGATTTTGGGTTTCGGCCCGTAGCGGGCCGAGTCGGGCCAGCCCGTCGTGAAGCGCGGCCCGAGTCGGGCTGTTCTGACCGGCCTATTTCCCCTGCGGCAATCCGCTCAGTGAACTCTACTTATCAACTAATATTGTGCTGGTCGAGTAAACCCTACGAATTGATATGCTGTCAACTAGATCTCAGGCAAACAAATGCGGCCAGATTTAGTCGACCTGGGTTGGAAATTGATGGACTGGTTGGATACTCTAGATTGAGTGCGGTGAAATCCAGTTTCTGTTGTGTTTTGCTAGCATAATTTGAGATTTGAGTCAATTTCGTCGAATCTCGTTACCCAGGTCGGGATTTCGTTTCCCGCTGCTTTGCTTTTAGTGCTTCCAGTGTCGCCTGTGAGGGTTCTGCGAGTGGCGATGTTTGTAAAGCTGCTACCTCTATAGCCAAATTCGCCTTGCGAACTAGTCTTTCAGCCCTCGTGCACATGCCTTTGGGGTCTGGCTGGTGTGGCTCGGTTGTGAGTTCTGGGGTATGGTGCAGGCCTGGGAGTACAGTAGATCCCCTTCTTCCAACTTGAACTTGTCCAGTCTTGTCGCCACCTCGCTCCACTTTTTTCCAGATGCTTTCCCAGTGTTGGCTCTCAGTGTGAGTCGCGGCAGGAATAGCAACATTTGCCAGGCTCCTTGACAGGTTGGCTTCTTGGAAAGTCGCAGCAGGAGGATCGTGAGGCAGTAGCCGAAGTTTCCCAGAATGTTGGGGGGAAGCTTCCGCACCAGGAAAGGTTGGGTGCTGTTGTGTAGGGGTGACAGGTCCCACTCCTTCACCCTCTGCCACGTGACCTCATCATCCACAATATCCGATGCCGAGCGTTCTGTATTTGCTGTCCTCGTGCCAGCCCGTGCGCTTGATTCGGCCACGTGTGCGGGTTGTGCATTGCGCGCTCTCCTGTCCCTGGTTTGAGCCGGTGTTAGGGATCCCTTCTTGTGCCTCGAGGGAGATATCTTCTGAATCTCCCTCCTCTAATTCGATATATTCCCCATCACTTCCCTCCTCTTCATTCATTGGGTTAGCATTCTGTCGTGTGCCACTCCGTTCTGGCCTTCCGTGTCTTTCCCGCCAGTCCCCGGATCTGACTTTTTCCCATGCTAACGCTCGTACCAGGTTCCCCATGCCCCCTCCCCCCCTCCCTCGCGCTCCCCTTGCTGCCGCTCCAGTCGCCGCGTTTTGCGGCAGTCGGCCTGCTACACGCTGGTTGGCCTGCTCCCGTAGGGCCCGCTACCGGCTCATTCCCCCTTGGTGGCGGCTGTGTCTCGTCACGGCCCTTCTCTCCTCCGCATATTCTCCCGCGCTCTCCCTCTCATCCTGCGCCTCCGTCTCGTCTTCCGCCGCTTCTCTCGCAGTCTTGCGGCGTTGTGGTGATGGCGGGTTGGCGCCGTCCTCCGCCTCGGCAACTGCCTAAGGCGGGTCTTCTTGAATGCGTCCAACCCACCAGGGGCCCAGGACGGGCAGGTGCCAGCACTGCTCCGAGCCGCCGATGATGTTGTTGCGGCCGCGGCGGGCGGCAGTTCTTCCCAGACGCCTGTTGGTTCGTCTGCGCCTCGGGCGCCGATTTATCGGTCTCCCCGCAGGCGGACCCATCCTCATCTAAGGGCCCGAGGCCAGTCCTGCTGCCGCCGGCGCCCTCCCCGGCCGTCACCATCTCTTGCCCTGCAGACGGTGCGATATGTGGTCCAGGCTCAGCGGCCTCAGGCGCCGCTGGCGCTTCACTTGCAACGCAACCACCCATGCAGCCTCCGCCGCCTCCGCAGCTTCATCCGTCACCGTCCCCAACCTCCTCGTCGCAGCAGCAGCCCTCATCTGTGTCGGCGCCCCAGTTGCTCTCCCCGTCGATGGCGCCGTCAGTGTCGTCCGGCCTGAGCTGCGCGCCACCACTGTCGCCGACATGGGCGTCTCTTCTGGCACCCCAGCCACCGCCGCCCCCGTCCACGCCGTCCCCGGCGGCTCCCCTGCCGCCGACTGCCGCGGGAGTGGCGATACCTCTGCCTCCGCCGACCCCAGTCGTGCAGCCTCCGTCGTTGCCTCCTTCTCAACCTCCGTCTGCGCCGTGCTCGGACCCTCCCGTGCCTCTCTCTCTGTCTCTCTCTCTCTCTCTCTCTCTCTCTCTCTCTCTCTCTCTCTCTCTCTCTCTCTCTCTCTCTCTCTCTTGTGTGTTACTGTGGGCGGGCAAAAGAGATCTCCCTCGCATCGGACAGACTGGAACGAACCATACCTGCTCGTCCCGACTCGACTGGTCCACGTATCACAGACGACCTATAATTCAATCAGCTTCCCACTTGGCTGGTCTGCCATTCAGGTCATCGTGGAATAAAACAACCCACCTAAAATAACCCAGCCCCATGACTGAGGGCGAATGAAACATAAGCACACTCCCAAGCCAGGGCGCCATGACTGCAGCATGACAATATAGTTGAACTGGGTCCGACACAGTAGGGGCAGCCTGTTTGCATGTCAGGCCTGTCGGCCTTAATCTGGCATTTAGTAGCGGCTAAAGTGCGGTCAGCTCTCTGCGGAAAGGTCACATAATATGACCAGTCCTATTGTCGACGGAGATAGATGTGTTCTTTGCCAGGTCCACATGGTCCAATTAGATGAATTGCCAATCCTGTGCAGATTAGTGGGCCAACCCAGCCTGTATCCCTGCTGCGGACCTCTGGTAGGCTTAATGTGAATCCAACCCATCAAAGGCCCCTGAGGCAGCGTCCTGGCTCAGCCCAATGCCAGCCCGTGCGCATGCGTACCATGTATGCTCATTTTCAAAACATATTAATTTTGTGTCATCTTCATAAGCCCCCTAATGTAAACATGAGCAATATAGCGAACCTCCGTTTGGTTCGTCACAAATATGTTCGTGACGAATTGAGCAATGTTTTTGGCAACAAACGTTAACCACAAAGCTCTGTTTATGGCAAACGTGTTTGTGAAGTTCACCGCATTCGTGAACTCGTTCGCCTTGTGATCAAGTTTGATGCGAACCCGACGAGTTTGCATCAAAACCCGCGGGTCAATTGAGACGTGCTGGTTTTCTGCGTTGCAGAAAACAAGTAGATTTGAGCTACCTTTGAGGTCAAATGTTGACATTCACAATACATTTAGCCACCATACTCAAACCCAAGTTATATACTTCTGTGTTGGACGTTTTTTTAAGTTAGTTAGTTCTTCCGCTAAGTACTTAAGCTAGAGTGTGGGTTATATCTAGCGCGGAAAGACTATCTAGCGTAGATGCGTCAGTATTTCAGAAGTAAGAGCACGGATTGGAGGTGCATTGTAATACGGTGGGTTTAGGTCGAGGAGGACTCGTTGGGCAAAATTGGCGAATTCAGTGCCACGACTAAAGAATCCGTGTCAATCGAAATAACAACTGGCAAAACGAAATGCCTCAAACTTGCCCCCACTACACTGTTACAAATCAAGCACTTGATTGGTCCCTCAAACTTGAATTAGTTGGAATTTGTGTCAAACACCAGTGGTTAGTCTGCGACCATGAACACACAAACACCTGTTTGGAAAAATGCTTTGTGCCAAACTAAATAGGTTGAGGAGTTCGCCTATTGTAGGTGTTCATTAGGGTTCCGTGGCAAACACGTCCGAGTTTGCCATTTTCTCCATCTCCACCCTTATGTATGAAACAGTGCTAGGTAATGTTGACTCTTTTTTTATCCCTTGCTGAAACTCACAATACAATGAGGTTGCTCATGTTGCTGATGCTGGATGGGATTGACCCACTTATAGCGTTCTTTTCAAGATATCTGGTGGAATGGCATGCAAAAGGTATTATGTGTGGAAAATGATATTGAATAAAACATAAGACATAACATTCGAGTTCGCCAATTGCTCCACGTCTCCCCTTCTGTATGAAACTAATGGTATAGCATGCAAAGGGTGTTCTGGGTAGAATAAAACCTTACCTGCATTTATGGATACGGGATTAGGGGCTGCACTAGCATCGTGAATAGTAATAAAGTCCATCAAAACATTGCTATATTATATATATATGTATCTATATACGCAAGAACTTATACGAATCGAGTCATTTGCTTTCGAATTATGTGGGTTAGTATAAATTTGCGTTTGTGTCTGTTTGTCATCAACTCGTTGATGAATGAATTGTTCTCTATCAACATATTGACGTGAGGAGAATTATCAGCACACGAGCCAATCAGCCATCTAAAACTGCGTGATGGAGTTTGGGAGCATTCTACTGCACACGATCGTATTCACACTTGGGAAATCCCTCAACAAACACGGACCCTTGGTTAGGGGCTGATTCTACCCAACACCCGAAGACCCTTCGAGGTGACCCCTTGAGGATAATTGAGTGGTGATTAAATGTGTGCTTAGAGATTTCTAGTCCCAATAGTAATCAACACTTGCTCATGCTAAAACCAAACCAATAACGAGATTTAAGTAGTAATTGAAGGAATGAATCAGTGCCATCCAAGCTAAAGGTGAAGTTATAATAAAATCTCATTGATACTGACAAGAAATTTAGTCCCCTAATGCCGATGATAGATAGAATGGACCCAATCAATCCATTATCCGCTAGATCCCTGATGACACATACACGCAACAGGTTCCATCCAAGAAAAAAGGATAGAGTAAGTGGATGGGTTGAGAGAGAAGTGGAAGAGTTTGAAAAGGCCTTCAAAGTTGAACAAGTAGTCATGATAGCTCACACATCCACTCCCATAAGCATTTATAGATGTGGAACATGTTACACTAACATTTAAATGTGGCACGAGGTACGCAAATACAAATGTGCTCAAAACATTGTGCTGGGATAGCAAAATGTTAACATGAAGACAAACAATACTCAATTAACAACCTTGCAACCTTTTGAGAGTGTTGATCCATGCGTAAAATAAAAAGATAGGGTCGCTAGTTGTCAAACTCGATCTTTGTTGTTTGCTACATTGAGTTGGACTTGAATGAAGGTTTAGCCAAATTAGGAGGAAGTTATGGAGATTGTTCTTGCTTCTGACTGATTTCACGGAATTTTCACTAACCCCTCGTAGGTAGGTTCCGTTGGGTGCAATACAAGGTTTGCACGACAATCTACCACCTATTCGCCGACATTGAGTGAATGTCTGGTGTTATGTATGAGTTGCGCATCTTTGTGCTTTCGATTTCCGTGTTTACGGCTCATGAATCGCCTCGATGGTTCATGAGTTATGTGTGTTTTAATGAAAGGTTGCGTTCTTGGGTGTCCGTAAATGTCAGTGGGTGATTGCGAGACTTCGTGTGCATTTGCGATGCTTCGTGAGCTGACATGAGTGTGCGGGTTTTTTTATGTTCGTGAATTTTCGGCGTTCGTGAAATTCCGTAAAGTCTGTGCGTTATTCATCAATGTATGTAAAAGCTCATGTTGGTTTCTGTTTTTCCCTTTTCATGTGTGATCAAGAAATGCCGTGAGTGTTCACGAAGGGTCAACTTTGACCCTTGGACATTTTCGCGTTGGTCAATGGTCAAGCGCGCATGAATCTTGACGACGCGTGTGGTCTTGATTTCGCGTGTGAGCCCTCAAGGCCCGAGCGTGTGTTGCGCAAGTAGTGCGAGCGTGTTGCACATTACTGTTGCGCGATGGGCACAAGGCCAATGATCGCAACAAACAACGCACGTCTGTGCGCTGTTGAGCACGACAGAAAATATCGGTCGTGCAAGATTACGCACCTGAGGGGTGCGCGTGTGTTTCAAGGGGTGCCGCGAGATCCCCAGGGGTGCTCGGGTTTGACTCGAGATTTCAATTTCGTAACTGAATCTCGAGCCACGTCATACATTGTACTTGGCAACACAGAAATTTCGCGAGAAAGCAGCGCGCGTAGCAGGACAATTAAGATACAAGGGAGAAACGGTGGAAACTTGTGAAGTGGCTTCAAGGCTTCGTGACAAACGGTAGGAAACCGTTTTGTAACTGTGAACGTTTGTGATAATAGTATTTCAACATGACCGTTCAAAATAGCACACGGGAAATCATGAATGTTCGCAAAAGGAGTCAGCACGAAAATTTGGCAGGAGTGCATTTCGAAGACATTTATTTTATCAAGGCAAATGAAGCCAAATTCAAGAACAGTTACGTAACCGTTTTCAAGAACACCAAGGCGTAGTTCCGAAGACTAGCTAAACAGTTGCTTTGTGCTTTCCTATGCTTGTGTGTTAGGCAAAATATAAATGCGTGTTTCTATTCAGTAGTAATTCAATCCTTTAAGTTCTTCTCCTTCACCATATTGACATCAACGAACTTTCTGTGCACGAGCCAATTCGTCTTCAACCCTGCGCAAAGGGTTTGGGAGTGCTCAATTGCACACAATTGGTCTCATACTTGGCGTGTCCCTCCGCATAACACAGACCCTTGGAGGTTACTCCGTGGGGACTGTTAAAGGTGTGCTTCGGAGCTTCTAGATCCCCATAGTAAGTAACAGGTTCACCACGTAGATAGGCAAGTGTTGTTGGGTACTTCTTCTCCTTTAAATTTGCTGGAGGTTTTGTTCACTAGTTTACTTATGGTTTGTATGTGTTTGTTTACATTATATTAGTGTAGACCATAAGGGTTGGGTTATGTTAGTTATAGGGTGCCCCCTGCATGACTTTATCGAGTGCTAGGCACCCCAAATTCGGCTTTGGGGCACCTCAGCACGTTTCCCAACCTTGGGGACGTGGCTCCAGCCTGGACCCACAAATTCCAACATTGAAAACGCGACTCCAGCATGGAATTCGTGATCCCAATTCGTGGAATCATGGTTCCTGAAGAAAATGGATCAATGAACTTAGGGCACGATACGAAAAAGAAATATCCTTAGCAAGAAAATGGTATAAATCTTAAAGACTAAAGCAAGGTCCTGGTCCAAGGATAACTCCAAGTGAAGTGGGAAGCCACATATATGTGGCTGAACTCTTCAGGCTAGCTGCAACACCTCAATACTGGGGCCAAGGCTAGCCAACCTTGCCAAGCTAGCAAGTGAGGCCACATGTTGCACATGTGGGCCAGGATGGAACTGTGAGAGCTTTGCTAGTTTGCCTAAACTTTATTATGCTATACCTAGCTTGGGTTTTATTTATCATGCATATATATGCTTGACTCCTAGGTTAGGTGCATTCTTATATTTTGTTATAGTTATAGCACCGAACCTGGTTACGTGTATCGAACTCAAGCCTATTCGGTTTCCACCGAATTGCTTTCTACTGAGTTCGTGAAGGTTCCATTCATGACGTTTCGCGACCCTCAGAACATTGGCGTAACACCTGGGTTACCTGCCTTGTGT